TGTTAGGATGGGTTGGTGTTTCATGTGATCGTCCATGTGATGATAAATCTTTCGGCAAGGACTGCGAAGGCAAATGCAAATGCTTTAATAATGCTGCCTGCAATCCACAAAATGGTAAGGTGCTGGTTGCAATATTTTTTAGTTTTAGAAAAAATTAATGCTTTAAATCATTAACAAAAGAATATTAATTTGTATAAATTTTTAATCACATATCTTTATTTCTTAATAAATATCATTTTTTTTATTTCAATTTTATTATTTCTTTTATTTTTATTCTATTGCTTTTTAATTTAATTCTATATATTTTTGAGAATCATATTTTTTAATTTTATATTTCTATTTTTATTTTGCACCTATATCAAAATACATTATTTTTTTTAAACACGCGTAGGCACATGCACGTGTGCAGCTGGCTTTATTGGTGAATTTTGTCAAGATCATTGTGAAAAAGGATTTTTCGGGTTGGGATGTACACAAGCCTGTGATTGTCATGAAGAGAATAGTCTAGATTGTGATCCTGCCACTGGCTATTGCATCTGTAAGCCAGAATGGCGAGGTTTGTTCTCTTTTTTAATTTATCATACATGAAAGCTTCAATATTTATCCCTTCTTGACAATAATATTTTAATATTCCAATTATCTCATTATTTCATCATAAAAAAAAAAAGAAAATCATCAATTATTAGATAGTTTTCTTATCTATTTACTTAATATATTCATATCATTATCATATTATTTTATTAATATATTATTCTAAAATTTTATTTAAATTTTTTTTATAAATGATTAAAATTATTAAAAAAAAAGATAGGAAAAATGTTTAATGGTAATTTCAACAATATGAACATTTAACAAAATGAAACAGGAATTCGTTGTGAAACAAAATGTCCAGAAGGTCTTTATGGTAATGACTGTCATTCGCAATGCGAGTGCATGAATAATAGTTCATGTGATCCGGAAACGGGCACTTGTATTTGTGCCAGAGGCTGGGAGGGAGTTGACTGTTCTCAACCCTGTAAAGAAGGGTGGTATGGAATGCGTTGTAAGGAAAAGTGTCCAGAAAAAATACAAGGTATGAATAATAATTCTAGATAAAAGTAAAATAAATCAAACTTTCGCAATTATATTAAAAAATAATCATTATTAACAATTTTTGCTAATTGCATGAAATATATTTTTATATTTTAAATTGTTTGATATAGTTTGCATTATTTTATAAAAATTAATCTAAAGTATTTAAGCATGTTTATAATAAGCACAAAATTAGTAAAGTTATGTAATTGATATAAAAAATATTGATTCTTTAATCATGATTTAATTTTATATCATCATTCAAAAATTTTGAAAATGGTAAGTTATAATTCCTATTTTAATGCAATTTATATAAACTAATAGATATTTTATCATTTATTAATATAATTAAAATTTATTTATTTATATATATTTATATAAAATTTATTTATTAATATAATTAAAATAATAATTAAAATTATTTATTTACTATAAAGCATATTATAATTATAATTTATTTATGATTATTTATTTAATATATATTATATAATATATGTTATATATTAATATATGTTTAATTTTTCAGGTAACATGACATGTGATCATGTCACTGGTGAATATATTTGTCGACCTGGATACTTAGGTTTAACTTGTGAACATCCTTGTCCACCTAATCGTTATGGGTCAAATTGTGCTAATCATTGCCATTGTAAAAATGGTGGTGAATGTCATCATGTGACAGGTAAAATTTCTTTATAATTTACTTTTATAATTTATTTGAAATAAATATTTTATTATAAAATAAATAATAGAAATTAATAAACTTTTTAGTTTTAATAATTTTTATGAACTATCTATATTTTATTTTAAATTTAAATCAGTATTAATTTTTTGATTAAATTTAAATCAGTTTAATTTTCACGTATTTTTTTCTATAATCTTTTCATTGATTTTTTAAATAATTTCTTTTTGAAATATTATAAATATAATTAATCTCATTAATTTTAAATAAGTTAGTGTTTCTTGTCTTATATCTAATATCATTTTAGGAATATGTCAATGTCGACCTGGTTGGCAAGGTGAATTTTGTCAAACACCTTGTATGGAAGGAACATATGGCATGAATTGCAGTCAACATTGCACATGTCAACATGGAGGAAAATGCAGATCTAATGATGGTCATTGCCGATGTGCACCTGGTTGGACTGGAACTAAGTGCACTGAAAGTATGTGAAAAAAATAAAATCTTAATTATATCAAAGAAAAATTAATAAAAAATATTATAAATCTTAATTATATCAAAGAAAAATTAATAAAAAATATTATAAATTTTTCATCTTTGAAAATTTAGTTTGTCCAGAAGGATATTATGGTGATCATTGTATGGAACCTTGCGATTGTAAGAACGATTTCTATATATGTCATCCTGCTGATGGATGTATTTGTAGACATGGATATACAGGTATATTTTAAATCTATCAATTCTAGAATATCTTGATTAATAATGAACTATTTTTTTTAGGACTAAATTGTAACGAAGAATTATTTTCGCGTAATATACAAGAAAAAGATGACTCGAGTTATGGTAGTATAATAGCAGGATTTTTCTTTGCTGCATTTGTTGTTATTGCAATGGTATTAGCTGGATGGATATATCATCGTCGCAGAGTAGCAGATTTAAAGAATGAAATTGCACAAGTGCAATATATTGCTGAACCTCCTTCTCCTCCAGGTATATATATATATAAAGTTGTTTATTTATTATTATTTAGAAATGTTTTTTTTATAATTATCACTTATATATTTTGTTTAGAACAAACTCAATTCGATAATCCTGTGTATGCATATCAAGGTTCTTCGAAATTTGATGATGGAACAACTACTTTATTAAATAATTTCCAATTTAGAAATAATCTTGGAACAAGTAAAAAAATAAATAATGAAAAAGTTAGACTTGGAATGAATAGTTGTACAGATGATGAAGATGATTGCAAAGGTATTATTGTAAATAGTAAACTCATTAAATTATATTTTTGGAAAATATTTATGTTTTATTTAATTATTCTTGATTTAGGATCATATAATCGATACGATTTGAAAAACAGAGATGCAGATATGGGAAATCCAAATCTTAATGTGTATCATAGCATTGATGAAATGGATGGGAAAAAAGTTGAACATGTTTATGATGAAATTAAACAAAATAATGATGAATCAGAATATGATCAATTAGATAATCCAAGACCAATTAGCAATTACAAACAATTCAACTTAATGCCGAATGGTTTCTGTTCAAACTCATCAGACAATGCAGGACCTAGCAATTTCAAAGATAAAGATCCAGAACTTGGTAAAATGTAAATTTTTTTTAAAATATGAATTCAGGTTAAATTATGGAATTTAAATTTTAAATAATATATATATCTATAATATATATGATATATATATAACTTAAAAAAACAAATTTTAAATGTTATATCATAATCCTCTTATAAATAATTAATCTCATTTCTTCATATCAAATTCAAATTTTCATGTATTAATTTAAACTTTGAAAAAATTTTAAATAATTAGTCTCGTTTTTTATCAAAATCAAATTTTTATGTGTTAATCTGAGCTTTGAAAAAATGTTTAAAAAATCTTAAAATAATATCATAAGATAAATGAAACAAAAATACAAATGTATTCCAATTGCTCAGTATATATGCATGTACATAGTTAAATAATAATATAATGAATAGTTAGATGGATATTGTATTTATAAAATTATATACTCATAATTGTTATTCTAAATGTGTTGGATTGTTTCTTTTCATAATATGATATATATGTATTTAGTAAATACAATAGAATATTTGATATAATATAATCGATAAATAATCTATTTAAAATAAGTAGTTATATCACAACTGATCTTTAAAAATTTATTTAAAAAATGATTGTATTTTATTAATATTCATAACAGATAAAAAATTGTATCTTAATTTAGATAGATAAAAAAGTATAACGGTATATCAAAATTATGCAAAAGATTTTGTGATATTTAAAATAATATAAAAACAAATTTTTTTTTACTTGAAATAACAAATTTTAACAGAATAAATAAGATATAATCAATGATTTTTACGAAAGTGCCTTGTAAATTTGGAAGTGTTATATATTACAAAATTTAATCATATTTATTTTTTTATCTTTATATGTGAAAAAAATTGAAGGTTATAATAATGGAATTAAGAATATTTATCACTATGTCTAAAATCTTATTAAATAAGATCATTTATTATATAAATTGGCAAACAAGGTACAAAATCGTTATGTAAGTCTGTCTAAGCAATAAGAGACCGAATCTAACGATCTCAAAATGTGCAAATGATATATGTATGTATATTCAAATGGTACATTAGATAAAAGATTTATTTTTCTTCTTTTTTTATATATTTTTTTTTCATATTTTAAGTCAAGATATTATTAAAAAACGCACATCAATAAAATAATTTTTATTTTAAAAACAATTTATTTCGTATATATGCAAAAATATTTATAAGTAATTTACAGAGATAAAAATATCATATTTATTTTATGATTAGCATAGAATATCATATCATATATTAAAAGATTTATATTTTATTCGTGTATACATATATGTTTATGTTTATATTATATATATATGTGTACGTATGTATATATATATATATATATATATATATATATACATATAAACATAAATATATATATATATACAAATAATATAAAATCAATCTATAAAAAAAAATCATTTGAGATACTATCATAAAAAGAGATCGTATTTATTATTTTATAGTAGATCGTATATATATTTTATTATAGATAATGTCTAATTTAATGCCTATTTTTTATTTTTTAAGAAATGTCTATTTTTACGATTTTATATATACTACACTATCTTTAATTTTAAAAAAATTCAGAAAAAAACAAATTATTGTGATTAATATAAATACTTTTGTAAATATCGTTAAATTAGGATAAAATTACAATAATTTTTAAATATCTATGTATATTAATTTTATATCATATCTCGTCTTCGTTAATTTTAATTTTATGAGATCTATAACGAGTAGCTTTAATTAAATTCAAAGTAGGCGATGAGATCCAATAGAGTCCACCGAGAAATTGTAAAAGCGCAACGAGACTCAAACAAAAAATTGTATCTGTAATCAAAAATTCTATATGACTTGTTTATAACTTTTAATTTCTTTTCTTAATTTGTTTACATTTGTAATTTTTAATTTGATTTTTTATCGAAATAAAATTTTGTTATAAGAAACACTTACTATGTATAAAGCAAAAACTAAGAATGCATAAACCTACAATAGTTGAAAATCCTTTGTAACTGGAACGTATCATTTCAATACCAAGAACATCATACAAAGACGAATCCTGACAAGTTGATAAACTACCAATACTAACACCACCAAGAAATGTAAAAATCATTATCCATAAATAGTTAGTTGCACGAGTTAGACCTAAAAATGACATATTTTTTTTTTTTTTTTGCAAATAAATATCTTAATATATATATAAAAATATAATATAATTTATTATATACCTATTAAACTAACACTACAAGACAAAGATGCTATGCCAAAATATAATCTTCTAGTTTGATTTGTAAATTTTAATACTTTATAAGTGATTAGATTCGATAAAAAAGTACTAAATCCAGCCAAGATAGATAAAAATATCGAAAGATTAAAATTATTTACAATGTCATACGATAAAATTGGCAATAAAAGCCAAAAGAAAAGAATAGATGTTTTCATTCCAATCCAGCCGATTATTGCAGCCCAAAATCGAAAATTCTTAAGAACTCGAAATTGTTGTTTCCATTTGTTGTCCAAATGAACTACTGGATTTACAAATAAATCTATGTCTTCATCTAAATCTTCATAGGCATAAATATTATTTCCTTCATTTAAAAATCCTCCTGCATTTATTTTTTCATCAGCTTGACTATATTGGAAATTTTCTATGTTATCTTGACTATCCTCATATTGTGAATTCTCAGGAAGATTTGAAGAGATTCTTACAGGAAGTTCAGTATCATCTTCAGTTGATAAAAGAAGACTGTAAGTTAATATCAGATTAAATTTTTATTTTAAATATTAAAAATAAGTTTCTCTTTCTTTTTCTCTTTCTCTTTATTTCTTATTGATTATTATTTAAGATTTTTAATAAAAAACCTGTAAGGAGAAGTTTGTTGAACAGGAGGCAACCGAAAAGTCAATATTCCAAATACAGTAGGCAATAATATTGTGGTTATCAGTTGTAAACCAGTTTTCAATTTAGCTTCATGCAATAGCAAATTTGTTATACTTGGAATAAATAAAAGACCGAATGAAACACCAATGTTTTTCAACGTCAATGCTAAATGGAGTTTCCTTCTGAAGTATTTCCTTAAAACATAGTCACTTAATAGAATAATGAAACTAGCACCTATACCCATCACTGCACCTGCACTGGTGCTGGCCAAATAAGCACCAACCCCGCCCGTTGCAAGATACCCGGATGCTATAATTCCAATTACCAAGAGAATTATTCCTATTATTCCTATTAAACGTGGCATAGACGCCATACTCACAATCATCCGTGTCCAAGGATCTAAAAAATAAATTCAATGAATTAGTTTTATAGACTAGAAATTATATAATACATAAAATAGTAATTTTATATATTAATTTTAAATCGTAATTATATGTAAAATATTTTATATTTAATTTATTTATCTATTTACCAGCTATGTTCCAAAATGCAGTAAATAGTATAGGTGTTAAAATAATTTTTTCATTCCATATATCAAAATCGACAGATTCAGTTTCACGTATATATGCTAATACTATCCCATACATTGCTAGTATGCTTGGAACAGTCATCTGTAAAAATAATGACAAAATTTTTTTATTAGCAAACTTAACTTCAAAAACTTTTTGAAAATTAATATATAGATTTAATATTTATAATATCATTTATTAAAATGTAAAAAAAATTTAACATTGAAAATTTTATATTTATCTAATTTTTAAAAAAAATAATATATTTTATAAATTATATATTTTTGTAATAAAATGAAATAATAGAAATTCATTTTGATTCTATGAAAAATATCTATTGATACTGTTACAAAATTATATTATAAAAAACAATAGATAAATTATTTAGTTTCGTTGTTATTTTATTTTAGATTGTTGTTTAGATTAAAACAATAATTGTTTAGATTTTAAAAATTTTTACGATTATTTTATGTAAGATATTATATTTTTATATCACAGGAATAATTAAATATTCTATCTATATATCTATTTTATCTATAAATAATAATTATAATATTTATTAAATTAATAATTATAAAATTATTAAATTATTAATAATTATAATAATTATTAAATAATTATTAAATTAAAAAAGATTAAGAAAATTATTTATCATTAACTATTTATCAAATTAATAATCATTTTAATAGTAATTATTTAATCATTTTCATATTTGATTTAAATACCTGAACTAAAAAAACTCCAAAAAGAATAATCCATGCATAACCACCATCTGGAACTGTGGGTCCTAGTTCTGGAAATGATGTAACGACTTCATCGAGACGAAGACGTTTAACTGATGACATTCTTTATTATATAAAAATTATATAGTTAGATTCACTGATGCATTTAGATTTATAAGAGAATTTTCGATGCATACTGCGGAACTACTATATTAAAGCTATAACATTATCTAATCTTAAGGATGTCAATGATCTGATAGCTAACGATAAGATGTAATAAAGCTAAAAATATTATGTATTTATTTTTTTATAAATTTTTTATAAATTTTTTGAAGGCAATAAATAAATAGGGAAATCTGATAAATGAATACACATATAATGCAAATATAATAATGTTTATTTGCTATTAACATATTCGAGGCAATAACAATATCAAAATTACTATTTCAACAAGTCCAACATTAATGTTCTAACAAATAAATTGAAGAATCATATTCTCAATAATATATCTATTCTTTTTATTTAGATTCTAAATTAATTGTTATATATATCTTATAAATATTAATGCCTCATTATATTATGAATTTTAAACTATTTATAATACAAAACAAATTAAATGTTCATGTATTATACAATAAAAAAAGAATTTTTCTTTAATTTAAAAATATACTAAAATAAAATGTTTGACTCTTTTAAAAAAGATGTTAATTTAATCAAATCTTCTCTAATCACTAATTTAAAAATTTTTTTTCTATTTATACATCTTCACGTGTATCACCGGTTGCTATCGATGTATATCGCACCTTCTTGTTTACCGAATCTAATATGGGTTCGATTTTCTTTTGTAATTTTGTGCGTTGTACATAAATTAAAGCGCACACTAGTCCTATTAACACTATTGAAAGTAAAAACAATAAAATAGTTGCACCATGTACTGTTGATGAGAATAATTTTGGTGTGCAGTTTTTTATTTCATATAATTCATGAGATATATTATCTATAAAGAAAATGATTATATTTTATTTCATATTATATTTGATTATATATACTAATTTTTATGTATAATTCATACCTTCGTAACATCTCAAATTGTCTTTGTTACGAACGAACACTTTCGTTTTATTCAACCATTTGATAAATGGGTTCAGTTTACAGGAACATTCAAATGGATTTGCAGTAAAATCCACTGCTATGTTTTGATTATGTTTAACAAGTGTATCCATGATATGCAGATCACGTTCAACAATTTTTGTAAACTTATTTCGTTGGAGATCTAAGAAATGTAATTTGTGGAGACAAGATATATTAAAATGTAAAGCAGTCAAAATATTATCTCCTAAATAGAGATCCAAAAGATTTGGAAGGTCACAGAATACATTACTGTCTCGAAATTCTGATATTTCATTTTGTTCTAAATGGAGCTTTATCAATTGTGTTAAATTACTATAATAATAATAAATTTTCATTAATAATATTATAAATTTATTGAATCAATTGAAATTAATTAATCTGATACCTATTTACAAAAATATCGTGTAATGTCGCTGCAAGATCTCTTGGTGGTCCATTTTCGAAAGCATCAGTTAAATGGAGTTCCAAAAGAGACACAAAATTAGAGAATACTCTAGGATGCCTTCTTTCAGGATCTAATGAAAGATTATTGAAATCTAAAATAAGTCGTTCAACGCGTTGAACATGATGATATGTTTTTCCTCGAATTTCCCTTATTTTATTATTTGACATATCGATAACTCTTAGATTAGGTAAGCTGTCCAAAGTACCAAATACATTCCATGGAAGTTCTTCGATATAATTTCCGGTAAAAATGAGTACCTAAAAATATATAATATTTAATAATATTTAATATTATAAAAATATATAATATTTGATATATATGATATTAATTAATATAATTAATTATATTATATTTATAAAAATATTATAATTATATTATAATATATTATAATTATTATAATTATAAAAATATGATTCAAATATTATAAAAAAATATGAATATAATATAAAATATGAATTTAATATAATAATTTTACTTGTGTTTTATTCGGCAAATGTGATAGCGGTGCCGTAGTATTAAATCCAGAATTAGTGCAATTAACAACATATTGATAATGATTTTCATAACATGTTTTCATACAGTAGCAACGATTTTTAAAAAATGGTCCGCAATCTGATTTGGCATTTTGTAACATCTCCAATGTGTGCCAATTAGGATCATTGCATTTATTGGATAATTGTGCAGTAGATGCATATATTAAAAAAAATATTGCATAAAATCTCTTCATTATGCATCTAAAATATGTATATAAAATATAAATTAACTATAATATCGTAAATATTGGTAATAATTTTATTTGATTTTTGTATTACTTACATATAAGTTCATTTGCCAAAATGAAATAAAAATATAATTCTATATTTTTTTATTTTTTATTTTTTATTTTTTATACAAAAATTTTTTTTCAAATGCTGAATTGAAATCCATTGCTTGAAATTTTAATTTTTTTTATATCTTTAACAATAAAAATTTAATTTTTAAATATTATTATGAAATTATATTGTAAATTATGATTTTTAATTGGTTGAATCATATTGGCGGTACTAATAAATTTTAAATTTTATTCCATGTGATCATTAAGGTTAGTTTCTTGCGATTAAGTGTGTAAGGAAGTTTTAAATTACGTATTATATTAAGGTATTATTTAAATAAAAATAAATTTATACAATTACAGTTACATAGTAAATATGAATATTGATAAAAATATTGTGAGCATCTTAAAATCTGTTTTTGGTTATGAAAATTTTAAAAACAATGTTCAGAAGAAAGCTATAATTGCTATTTGTAAAGGTTAGTATTCTCTTTGAATTAAAATTTTTTGTAAACTACTATATTGTTATTTATATAAATTTTTGATAAAAATAAGAAATATTTTATTACGTATATATATAATGCTTTTAATGTAAAATAAAATAAAAATATATTTTATAAAAAATATATATTGTAAAAATGAGAATTTTCCCGCCAATTATATTATAAAATTTTGTTATAAAATTATATAATAAAATGGTCAATATTGTAAAATTTAATAAAAAGAGAATAAAATTACAATAAAATATTATAGGTTTTAAAAATATATTTATATCAATGCCTCCTGGATTTGGTAGATCTCTTTGTTTTCAATTACCAGTTCTTTTATATAAGAACAAAGTTGGAATTATCTTCTCTCCAAAATTATCTTTTATTAAGGTAAAAATTCTAATATATTAGAAAAGTTAATGAAATAAAAAAGCATTTTTAACTAATCTTATCAATATTTATTAAATACTTTATTTATTAAATATTCATATATATTTTTAGAAAGAAATAGAATTTTTAAAAAGCAAACAAATTAATGCTGCTTTTTTAAGTAAAAAGTCAAAAACAAATGAAAGAGATAATATTTTGAATGATTTAGCATCAAAATGTCCAACAATATCATTATTGTATGCAACTCCTGAAATGGGGACAATGACATATTTTATGGTAAATAGTACTTTAAATCTTTTAAAATAATTTTTAATTAATTTAAAAACATTGACAGCAACTTATACTTTCATTGAAAGAGCGTACAATATTATCTTATATTGTATTCAATGAAGTACATTGTATAAGTGAATGGGGATATGAATATATACCTTGTTATGCAAAAATTATTAAAATTCATGAAATATATAAACATATTCCAAAAATTCTAGTAACTACAACTGTTACTTATAAGGTAATAAAAGTAATTCAAATTATTGTCATTAAATATATATATTTGATTCTTCTGAATAAAATATTTCAACAGGTAATTGAAGATATTTGCAAATTATTACCATTAGAAAGTCCAAAAATTTTTAGAATGCCTGTACAACAAATCAATATACTTTATGATGTCTGGTTTTTAGATATAATTTCTCATCCATTTGATCATCTTAGAAAATTTTTTGTACAAACTTTTGGTTTCTTAGATTTATCTTCTCAGGAGGTAAATTTATTTGTCTCATCATGAGATTATAAAATACATAATTATGAAGATTATCTGTATTTAGATACATAAAAAATTTGGCGTTATTTACTGTAGAGATATAATCACTGCAGAATTGTTAAAAAAGGAATTAAATACTTTAGGCATATCTTCACTTACCTATCATCATAGTAAGTAAAGTATAAAATTAAATCAAATTACTTACATCCTTATATTTAAAAGTTAATTTATAATGTATTTTAGAATTAAATAATAGTACAAAATATAATATTGAAAATAATTGGATATCTGGAAAAGTTCATGTTATCATTACAACATATGATTATGGATTTATTCACAAGAAATCAATTAGGTTTGCATATATCACAATAAATTCATCATTAATTTTCTATTCTAAATGACTTATAAAATTATTTATTTAATTAGATGTATAGTTTATTGGACAGTGCCTGAGAATATTAGCAAATATTATAAAGAAACTGCACAAATATGTTCAAATAATAGTCGTGTATATTGTAGAATATATTTTAGCATGAAAGAATATCTTGCTGTAAAATTTGTTATTGAAAATCATAGACTAATGAACAATATGAATCATATCAAGAAACGATTACTCGAATATGAAAAATTCGTATCCTATTGTCTTTCAGTAAAGTAAGAAACTTAAATTAGATATTCCTTCGAATTCTTTTTTATAATTTTTCGAAAATAAATATTAAAATCTTGCTTAGATGTCGACATGAAATCATTAGTGAATATTTTGGATACAAAATACCGTCTTGTAAAATGAATTGCGATGTCTGTATAAATGAAGAAATGGTAACGATTAGAACATTTAAATTTATTATGTATTCAGAAAAAATGAAAGGAATCACATACGGGTAAGTATTATTAGTATGCAAGTTTGAAATAATTATTTGAAAATAATTTTGAATTTTATGTTTCAATTCTTAGTCGTGATATTAATGAATTCGTAAAGAAAAAAGAAATAGAATTAAATATTACAGAAAAAACAGAAGACAGTTTGAAAATACAAATATCAGAAAATTCTAGTAATAATATTATTGTACATAAAAATGATGATATATTATGTAGTGAACAATATAAAAATAAGTTAATGAAAGACAAACAAAAACCATTGTTTATTGAAAATATATTAATTAAAGAACAATTAGAAAAAAATTATATTGAAATTAATACAAAAAATACATTAAAATGCGCGAAAGATAATTCTAACACGATAGAGACAAGCAAACTTGCGATAATAAATTCTTTATTAAATAAATACAATTCAGATAGAAAAGAGATATCTTTAAAACCTTATTATTCTCAAGAAAATATTTCTAAATTTTCTAAATTAAAAGAAATAATTAATATCAAAACTTATAATAATCAATGTGAACAAAAAAATGAGAATAAAAGGACAGAAGTTTTAAAAAATAAAAATGAAATAAAGATATGTGAAAGAAAGGACCATATTTCAAAGCAAAAATCTTGCGAAATTATTATTGAAAAGAAACAATCAAATAAAAGATCAAGAGATATTATGCATACATGTCTTGAGGACTACAATCCAAAAAGAAAAAAATTGAAACTTGAAAATAAATCAATCACTAAAACAATAAATAGAGATGGAGAAAATGTTTTTGATTCATGCATTGAACGCATCAAGGATGACGTAAATATAAACGCGACGTGTGATCATGCAACGGTAGAATATTTAATGAATAAATTTCAGTTGAATAGAAATTCAATAACGCTAATACCAATAAAGAAATTAAATTAGAGTGAATTAATATCTTTTCTTCAAAATAAAATAATTTAATAGTAAATAATATTATATGTAAATCTTTTCTATTATTAAATTTTTTTAAACAAATTTAAAATTATATATCAAATAAAATACAATAAGATATATTGTTAAATTATATATTTATATAAAAATATATAAAAAATAGTAATTATAGTATTTATAAATATATTAATAATTGCAAGAAGTAACACCTTACAATATGATTATTATGATTATCACATGATTATTATTATATAAAAATTCTATTTTTACAGTAAGTAAAAATATTCTTTAAATGAGTATATATTTGATAATTTTTTTTTAATTTTATCTTGTTTTGTGATTAAAATATTTTTATTTTATTTCAAGACATTAATAGATGTAGCGCATCAATGATAGAACTGAAGTAGGTCGTCGAATCATACTCTTTGTAAAACGTCAACCCACGCAACAGGTGATATTGAGTAAAAACTATTTTCATATAAAAAATTCTTCATTTTTAAAATTATCTATTTTTGTTTTTTTTATAGAATATTTTTAAGATGTTTAATTTTTAAATCATTCACAATAATTAAATTATATTTATTTATATTATCATATAAAGTATAGTTATTTTTAGTTATATAAAATAATATAAAATAATTCGTATATAATTTCAAAAATTCAATAAAATATTATCATTAAATACAAACTAAGTTTTTATTTTTACCAATTTTAATTATTATACCAATTTTAATATATACCAATTAAATTATTTCATTTTTAATTTAAATCTTTTTTTAGTAATCATTTTTTTTTAAATCTCTTTCTTTTTTTTTCTTTTATGAAATTATTAAATTATTGAATAATAAGGCTTTTATATTTTTTATTTTCATAAAAAAAATATAATTTTTATAATAAATAAAATGAATAATTGAAGAAAAGCTATAATATGTTTGTTATTAATAAAAAAAGAAAAAAGAATGATCAATTTTATTATTTCGTTATAAATTATCGATATCATTTAGAGATTAAAAATAATTATTTAATCTTAGTACTCACCGTTCAAACCAAGAAATGGTGATGGAAGAGAAAGAGGAGGAAGGACAAAATCGTGATTCATCCAAGTTACCGGTGTATTCGTATACAAATCACTAAAAGAATTTTTTTGCTTTCATCTTTTATCAGAATTTCTAAATTTCAATTTCACTTCAATATTTTCGATAAACTTTCAATTTGAATTAACATTTAGAAATTTTTTAATAAAATAATGCATGACACTTTAAACTTTACTTGAATTTCACTGACTCAAGTAGTGAAACTTTGCTAACCAGCAATGTAGACGACCAACCTGTTGAAGATACGCGACAATGAAACAATTCACTGAATGCTCGAAATATTATGGCAGACTGGAAAGAGAATACTCCTCTCTGCACGACGGATAGTATTACACTTGGAGGTGCCCCAGACGTAGCAGCCACACCTGTGCTCCCTCCTTCCAACCCTTCCTAACTTTTTCTCGCTTTCTCCTTATTGCTTCGTATTCTTTCTTTTTCCACAAATGTTGAACTCTCATGCTTTTCTCTAACTTGTTTCTTATCTTTCATTTTCTTTCGTTGGTTTTTTTTTTATCTGAATGTATCTTCCTTTTTAGAACTTTCATTTTTGGCAATCATGAGATCGATTCAAATTATATGTTCGATACTTTTGATACTTTGGATATATGAAAATACATATTGTTGTCGAAAATTATGAAATTAAATGGAAATATGAATAAATATAAAAATCTTAATTTTGATGAAATTCGTATATATTTATAAATAATAAATTATATCATATAATTTTTAAGATAAAAGATACATTAAGATGTTCTTAAAAATTCATTTTTTTATTTATTAAAAAATAATAGTAAAATTTAGATTTTTTTAAAATTCTTGTTAAAAGATGAATAGAATATTAAAATTTTTTCATTTTTTCAAATTTTTTAAAATTAGAAAATTAATATAAATTTGTATTATAGTTATATTAAATTATATAAGAATAATTTAATAATTAAACAATTCATTTTATCTTTTGAACACTTTTCTTACTTTTACTTTATGTGCGTGTAACAATATTTCAGTTTAGGCGATTAAAATTCAATGAGATAAATTTTAATAATCAAAAACTGATATTAAAATGCTTCTTTTTTTATTTTATTATATTAATTGTAATTTAAATATATTGTCAACGTTATTGTACGAATAATTTAATTATTAATCATCATCATTGATAACATATATTAAGATCAAGATAAGTAAATTTAATTATGCACTTCAAGTTGAAAATGAATAATATTTTATAATTTTACATTCAGAAACTTCTTTGACACAAATAAAATAGAATGAAATATAAGTATAGTCAAACATTTACATAAAAAATATTATCAAGTAAGATCTAATTGCATCAATTTAAAAATATTAATTGATTAAAAAGAAAACACATTATATAATAATAATTAATAATAATGTAATAATATAAAATCAATAATCGATAAAAATATAAAATATGAAATATGAAAATATAAAAAATAAAATAGCTATTATAAAATGTTAATTATTACAGAAATAGTCAATTTCAAACCTGACTTGATCTTTAGTTATACATATATGTATGTAATTTTTTTCTCTGATCTCCTACTAAGGATAAAGTAGATTTCTGTAGAAGATATTTATTAAGAATTTAATTTTTTGTTTTTAAATTTCACATTTTTTAAATTTAATATATATATATAAGTAACAATAAATCATTACTTATTTGATAATTTTAATCCCATAAATATATTAACATATATGTAAAATATGTATGACATACTAAAATAGACACATAAAATATATATATTTGCATATAAAAATTTGATGTTAAAATTTTTATATATGCTAAATAAAAAAAATAATAAAGTTAATTAAATATTGAGATTATTGCTTTTCTTGAGTGCATAAATTTTATAAAAAAAATATAAACAAAAAGAAAAAAGATAATAAGAGATAAAATTTCAGAAATCTGCGTCATTTTTAAATGCCGTAGATGAAATTAATATAAACAAGGAAAGCAAATAATACGAGAAAGATAAAGAAAATAAGAATTGATTTTTAGTATCATTTTAAGTATTAAAGACTTTTCTTTAAAGATAGAATGAAATAAAAAAATTGAAAACAAAAGTGTCTTTTGAGATTTTTTAAAGAAATATTTTCGGCATTCAAGAGATGGCGTTGACAGTCAATTTTTATTTTATCTTTTTTTTTCTACTATTTGCTACCCATAATTAGCGCGTGATCATGAACAAATACATATTAATTAAATATTTTTTCATCGATTTTATTTTAAAATTACAATGTATCTTAATCTTTATAATATAATATAAAAAAATATAAATTTTCGATTCTACATTATGTATTATGTATATATATTATATCTATAGAATATCTAATATAGAAGAAAATTTAATATATCTACAGAACAATTTATAAATACATAATGTATCTTGATGATATAAATGATGTGAAGCATTGAAAAATAAACAAAAACTTGATCCAGCAAGATATAAAAATTCATATAAAATATTATTAAAAAATAAAAGAAATTTATAATTTATATAATATAAAATAAAAAAATGATTCGGAATAGTTCCATTAAGTATACATTGAACGTCTTTTGTAACATTTATTTGCGTACATACATACATAAATTTGCAAATAAACGCATTGGAAATCGTGTATATGTTAAATGTGTCATGTCTAATTCTGTTTCATAACTTAAAATATGGTGAAATTAATTTCATTGTTTAATATTCAAAAATATACAAAAGAAATTTGATTTTTTTTAAATAGTGAAAAATTAATTAATTCGTAATACATTTTATCATCTTATCACTAATCATTTATTATTTAAAATTATATTAATATGAGATATTTATTTTTTTTTCAAGAAAACATATAATAGATAATATATAAACATTTTTTTAAAAAATAAATGATGAAATGAATGACATCAAAATATTTCGCTCAAAAATCAGTAAGAAAATATGTATATACATGTATATATAAAAGATAATTGTATATGTTTATGTAAGAGTATATGATTATCAAAATTAAGAATATTATACAAATGATAATCTTTCATGTGTTTTATGAATATAATTTTTTCCTTTTTATTTGATATTAAATGTGAAAATTTTTTTAAATGCATTATAACATCGATATATTTAAAATTCACATTTTTAAATAGGTTTATATAGTTTCCAAATATATTATTTTTTTCTTTTTTTGTACATTTTTTTATGTAAAATCTATTACTTATAAATTTTCTTTTTATTTTTATAAAAAAAATCATGCAAGCAAAAAATCAATGAAATTTGTATGATTAACACACATATACAAAACAATAGTGATATATATACAATAGCAATCACAATCATTAATTCTTATTTTTGTTAATTCGTCCTAGAACAAAATATAATTAAAATTCTAAATTTCAAAATTATGATAATAAATAATGGATGATATAATATAAAATATTTTTGGATTTAAAATCATGAGATTAAAGTTATATAATTATTATATATTATTTCCAAAAATATTATAATTATAAATAAATAACAATTCTTACTAATTCGAAAAAAATAATATAATAAAGAAAAAAATTAATTTACAAAGTTATATAAAAAATAATTGTATATGTGCGTGGAATTATAAAACTATTTTGTAATTTATAATAATAGAAACTACATCTTTTAATTTGCTCATTGAGCAATCATCTTTTCTTTTGTATTTAATATAAGCGCTTTCATATCCTTAATTCTTGCATAACATCGGATAATGTGTATATATATATATATATGTACATAGATGATTATTTATCAATTTAACCAAAGTTTCTTAAATATTACAATTACAAAGAAATTTAAAATCATTAAAAAAATTTTATATTATAAACTTATATTAGTTTAAAAATTTCTGATTAATAATTCTTTATATATAAAAAAGAAAGAAAAAAATAGCAAAAAATAATGTAAAAGTAATGTAAAAAAATCAATAATCAATTATAATATATATAATATATAATAATAGTCAATTAATACATTGTTTATTAATATTTTATTCCAATAAATTTATATTTTCATTTTTTTAAAATGAATAATTATATTTCATTTTATTAAGTATCATTTTCTATACCAATTTATTAATCTATTGATTCATTATAAATGTAATAAACAACGTGTTAATTAAAAAAAAAAAAAATTTGATAAATTTAATAAATTAGAAATTCAATTTTTATAGACTAGATACTATGATCTGTACGTTTTGATTTGTTCAATAGACAACAAAAAAAAAATTTAAATACTTTCACAATCTTATTTTGTACCATCATACTCATTGCCAGAATAAATGTATATTTTTTTCATTTTAATCTATTAATTCATTTGACGATGAATATTAGTGAAATAATTAAATATCTATTTTATTTGTATATTATTATACATTATTTACACTAAAATATTCATCATCAAATATAAATCACTATTATTAAGACAACTATTCCAAAAGCAATTCTTATTCATTATATCGAAATACATTTTTAAAACATTTAAATTCTTGTATGATTGTTAATTTTTTTTAAAATACTATTTTTAACATATTTTTAACATATATGTATACAATTAGTTTATCGCATATGTATCAATATGTATCAATAGTAGCGATTTTAATACATCGAAATTTTGCATTTATAATTTCTTCAATACATTTATATTTCTGATCGATTCGCTGTTAATTTCATCAATTTATTTATTAATTTCATTCATTAAAATTTCTTGTTAAAAAAATATTGTATTCAGAAAACATCAAACAGTGATAAAATAGATCACATGAATTTTCATAATAACAAGCTAATTTTTATAAAATTAGTTGCTTCTGTTTAGCTATGTCCTCTTTTCTTTCTCTCTTTTAAAAGATTATCACTTTCTTTTTATTTAATTGTTATTGTTATTTATTTTCTTTTTATTAAAGATAACATGGATAAACTATAACGCTACAAAAGATAAAATCGCTTAGTAAGTAAGCGTTCTTACAATAATATAATCTCATTTGAATATTAATATTAATCATCAGATTGATTTTTTCAGAGCAATTTTTGTGTTATAGTATATATTTATATATATTGTAATTACATATTAGCAATAAATAAATAATTTTTTATAAGCTTGGCCAAATAACATTATTTTTCATACTATTTGTGAAAATTTTAAATTTTTAATTTTTTGCAGATTATGCATTAAATGAAACAATATTTAAAAATAATCAAATATTATATTCTTATATATTTTTTTATATATATTACTTAAACCTTTTTTAATGAAATATTTGTTTTTTTTTATTATTATTTCAATAGTAATAAGTGA